CAGCACTCCTACTTTATTGTAAAGGCACACCTAAGTAGCTCCACTTAATTGGAAGGCTCATCACCTCTGGGACAGCCTTGAGGAGGTTTTCAGCCTCCGCAGCTCCCTGTGCAGAGAAACCGCCTTCATTTAGCAGGAGCAGTCCGGAAGGCTGGTGCTCACCCAAATGCCCCAGCACCCATGCACATATTTTTATCAGGCTTAAAAAAAAAAGATGGAAGAATGGGGCCTATTATAGTATTGCCACAAAACATCTCAAAATTATGCATTTATAATTCCTGAAGGTAAGCTGATGTGCACTGTACTTAGGTTGATCCAGACAAATATGTTTTGGCATAAGGCAGTATAATTACAAATTGGAGTTTTGAAGTTTGTGAAGGTTTTGAAATGCAGAGACTCCAAAATAGTTAAATATTGACATCAGCCACAGCATACCTTCCTTCTCATATGAGACTGAAAATCATACAAAAGCATATAGAATAGTTTCTCACAGTAAGTAGCTGAGATGAAGTAATAGCTTTTGTTCTAGACTTTTCTTTTTTAGCAAATTATCTCAGCATGGGCACATGTTAGATTGCCACACAGAGGGCATGTTGCTTGCTGAGCAATCCGCCCTGCAGAACAGTGGCTGTGCCGCCTTGCTTTGGGCACACTACTAAGCTAAATTCCTGTCTCCTGTCATCATTGACCGTAGAACAGCTGGAAATTAAAGATTGCAAGATACATTATAATTTTTTTCCTTAAACAATTTTTTATATAACCACAAAAGCATTCATTTTTATTTGCAGAGATGGTCTCACTCTGCTACCCAGGCTGAGTGCAGTTGTGCTATCTCAGCTCACTGCAGCTTTGACCGCCTGGGCTCCAGCAATCCTCCTGCCTCAGCCTCCTGAGTAGCTGGGACAACAGGCATGTACTACCATGCCTGGCTAATTTTTATTTTTATATTTTTAGAGACAGACAAGGTCTTGCCCAGGCTGAAGTGAAGTGGCGTGATTATAGCTCACTGCAGCCTCAACCTCCCAGGTTCAAAGCATCCTCCCCCCTCAGCCTCTGGAGTAGCTGGAATTATAGGCGTATGCCATCACCCACCCTACTAACTTTTGTGGGTTTTTTTGTAGAGATAGGGTCTTTCTATGTTTCTCAGACTGGCATCAAGCTCCTGAACTCAAGCAGTCCTCCCACGTTAACTTCTCAAAGCACTGGGGTTATAGGTGTGAAACCGCCATGCCTGGCCAGCAAAAGTATTCTGAGAAGACCTTTGAGGGGGAAATACAGCATATTCTTATCAATCCTGCCATGAGAACCATGCTAATTTTTGCAATATTTTTCCCTTATTTATATGTCATTGTAATAAGAGATTCAAGTATATTTTATTCAAATTTTAAAACTTTTAGACTTTCATTTTTCACTTAAAAAAAAAACCTCATTGAGGGCCAGGCACAGTGGCTCATGCCTGTAATCCCAGCACTTTGGGAGGTCGAGGCAGGCGGATCACAAGGTCAGGAGTTGAGACCATCCTGGCTGACATGGTGAAACTCCCTCTCTACTAAAATACAAAAAATTAGCTGGCTGTGGTGGCAGACGCCTGTAATCCCAGCTACTTGGGAGGCTGAGGCAGGAGAATCGCTTGAACCCAGCAGGCAGAGGTTGCGGTGAGCCGAGATTGTGCCACTGCATGGCTGGCAACAGAGGG